TAATCAACATTCTGAAGTTTTATAATTAGTAGTTTCTCTTATTCATAACAATTAGCTACATCTAAAGGTCAGTAAAATATTCTTTCCTTTTTTATAGTAAAAATCATTATATTTTTTTTAAAAAAAATATCAAATTATTATGTTAAAAACTTTTAGATATCACATACGAATAATATGTCAGAGATCTCAACCCTCAACTAGACATGGCCTAAACACGGGTCGCGCGGTCTGGGCCCGCCTAGATAAAAAAAAAAGGAAAAAAAGAAAAAATACAAACAATGTGTATTTCCCATGCCGGACTGGACCCAGCCCGACCCGTCGAACCAGGGTCAACAAAAATAAGGCCCTGGACTGGCCCGGTTGAAATCTGAGCTGGGCCCAGACCGGTGGTCAACAAGCTTGACTGGGTCGGGTCCGTGCCGGGCTGGCGGGCCTTGTGGTCCGTGTCCACGTCAACCCCTAACCCACTCCATCTCTCCCTCCCTTCCCCCTCCTTGTTGTACACCTTCCTAAATGACGCGAGGTTGTAATTCCTCCTCGGTCGTCGTCTCTGTACTATTAGCAACCGCCAGCAGTGTCAGCGGTGCTATTATCACCTAGTACCTTCCGATCGCTTCCATCACCGCCCCCAATTTTGAACCTCTGCACCACCACCACAGTCTCCCCTGTCCTCAGACTGATGACCGCCATCGCCAGCGAGAACACGTGGAATAGCGGCAACATGCACAGTACCACGTCCCGTGACCGTCCGCCTGAAAGTTCAGGTTCACGCCACCCCCTTATGTACCATGGACGTGACAAAGTTCCAGTGGTTGTGCATCATCATTGTCGTCGTCCAAATCCCGCCGAGACGAAACTAGTTCGGGAACGACGAATCGAGAATCGGGAGGGATGGATCAAGAATCAGAAATTGGGTTGAGATAGGGACTTCAATTTGAAAATTAGATAAGTCCTAGGGACTTGTCTGTGATTTTAGAAATTCTAACATATTGTATTTTAGTCCTTCAAGCAAATATGTAATTTAACAAAAGTTATATAAGTGCACAATAATTTTAGGTGAAATTGACAATGTAACTCGTGGATATGCGCATTAAAAGTATTGCCATATTTTGTTAGAAATTGCAGAATTGTCACCGGCGACACATTTAAAAGTTCACGAATTTATCTAAGTGTCGCCGCACTACAAAATGCACAATAGTGTTATACGAAATTCACACTAGTGCCTTTGAAAATGGGAAATAGTGTAACGCTATATTTTGCGCAATTGCGAAACTACCTCCGTGTGAAAAAAAAAATACACATAATTACAGCAATGTCAGCGCCCCTTTGAGCAGTGTTGGAACCTTTGATCGACCATGGAACGTTATGATTCATTTTTATTCCTTTCTCTCACCCTTTACATATCACTAGCATGTGGCCCGTGCGATGCACGGGAAAATAATATTACGATTGTATTATAAATTAAATATACAAATAAATTAATCAAGATTTATCCATCGTTTTTAAATTAAACCGTGTTGAACACAGTCCGACCGAATGGACTGAAAACAAGTTTATAATCAGTCTAGTTCACTTGAATAAAATATTTGCTATTGAATCAACACCAATCGGTTGAACTGGTTGGATCGATACGATTTTTTAAATAAATTTGGTCATATTTAAAATAATTTTAAATAAAATTAGATACTTAAATAATATAGAGATTTATAAATTGTTTATCAATTAATTTAACATTTGAATTTTTAAATTGTCTAGATATTTAAGTAACACATTTTATTCAAATTTATTACAAAAACTATTATATATATATATATATATATATATTAAAACGTATTTAAAAAAAATGCATGATTTTTATAAATTAAATTGTATGATTAAATTGTATGATTATATTAAAGTGTATTTATAAATTAAATTGTATGTTTTTTAAAGAAAAAAATAAGAAAAATAATAAAACTACTATTTATGGGTAGCATTAAATGCTGACCTATTTTTTTGCTACTAATTTTAGTAAATATGATGGCTCTTTATATAAGTATAGATATCCAACGAATATGATTCATTATTATTTCTTTGACTCACTCATTCTCATTTGATCATACTTCTATATCTACACATACACACACAAACACACACACACACACACACACACACACACACACATATATATATATATATATATAATGAGAACCAAGTCTTAGCGCGAGAAGCGTGAGAACCGCTATTTTTAATCGTACGTAGTGCTATGATTGATTGGGGTTTTATTGTTATTTTTAACCATGATTTATTTTATTAAAAATAGAAACACAATTTGTATTAGCATTTGTGAAAATGATAACACCATATAATATTAAAATAGCATCATACATAATTAAGAATAACTGCGAATATGGTTCTCACGGTTCTGGCACCAGGACTAATTGTTTTGAGTGATAGGAAAAATTGTACTTAGTTATTATTCTATTTTCTTATTAACTAATAATGATACAAATCATATTAAATGGCGCGACAACGTACTTGCAAAGTTGTTACACACATTAGCGTTTTGGAGTCTTTTCAATTAGTTTCTCTTTTATGCTACATATGATTTTTTTTCGAAACGGAGAATTATATATAAAAAAAGATGAACACAGAGTTTAGCATAATACAAGAACACTGATAACAAATTAGAAAAACAACAAACTACCAACTGCCTCTAACTGCAACAAGCAAACTAACTGAACTAACTACTAAGAACTAACTACCACTCGGAGAAATGGAGAGCCAAACAAGTTGGTCTATGAGGAATGAAGGGACTAATTGCACAACCATCAGGAAGTATAAGATATTGGGGCCCTGGGACACACCATTAGACAAAAAAGAATAGAAATCTTAGCCACTGTGAAGATCACCTAGCCAGGAGAAAAACAAACTAAGAAAAAGATGAAAATTCGAGTCATTCTGAACAAGCAACATCTATAATAGCTTTCTTTGATTGCCATTGATTTTTTAATACCCAAAGATTCCTTAGTTTCATAACCACCATAGTATATAGGTGGTTAATTGGATCCTGTCAGGTGCAGCTTTTTTCTTGTGCATTAAACAAACCTCTTTCTACCAAGTCTTGAAGTAGTGTATGTCCTGCTATAAATTGGTCCAACTTACCGGTGCAAGTTTCCATACTTTCTTGGCTCTGGGACAGTTGAATAACAAGTGTTCAGTGATTTCCTCTTTGTCACACAAGCTTTGCAGATTTTGTCAAGTTGCAGGCCTTTCTTGTTCAGATTTTGTTGTGAAGGTAAAATACCATAGAAGCACTTCCCGATGAAGTGTTTTATTTTCCTCTTAATCTTTAGCTTCCAACTGATGCTTCTGACTTTGTTGATCCAAGTGGATTGGCTGCTCGATTCAGGAAAGTCCAGGCCTATGATTTTGCTTTTTAGAAGAGTCTCATAGGAGAAGGCCACAGAGAAGTTCCATTTCATGTTGAAGCTCCAAGAGATTCTGTCCATCTGGGTTGAGTTGAGTGAGGAGATTTTAAGGGTGGCCATACAGTCACTTGCGTTGAAAGTTTGTCTGATAAGTGATTCATCCATATATCTGAGTGAGGTATCATGAGCTTCTCACTACTAGCATGTAGCGAGGATGGTACATATAATTTACTTCCCTAATATTTATCACATAACCGACAGTAAAATTCTTGAAATGAAATAAGCAACGAAGTAGGATTGGGACAATATCATGATTTTGAAACAATGGTGTTATTAAATTCACATGCCAGTAGAGGTTGGACTCCATTGAAATTCTATTGAAGATTTAATTCGCTGATAATGATGAATTATTTATCAATCTACTAATTCAAATCGGAAAGCCTAATTACGCCAATATGTCATCTAGTCCATGTACATATCGATTTCTTTACTTCGTTGATTAGATGCTTTTTCAATTAGAAATTATTTATAAAAATAATTTATCAGTAAAAATATACTAAACATAACAACTTTTATCATTAAAAATATATAATTGCTAGCAAAGCAATTAATAAAACTTTTTTCGTTTCCTCGTTTTTCTATTAGTTTTGCATGAATCACAATTATAATTTTTACTTATTTTATTATATAATTGCTACTATTATCTAATAATAAAAACACATTACAGTTATTCTATTCTAAATCTTTTTTAAGCTATATATTTTAAAATTATTTTTTTACCTCATTAAGCAAGTTTTTTTATTATAATTAATTACTTATCTTTTATGGCATAACCAAACTTTTTAATGATTGTACACAAATGCTATAATAATAATTTCAATATTTTTTTATTCAATTAATTATCATAATCGACTATGATTATATAAACTTAAAGATTAATATGTAAGTTAAACAGTTTATATTTATATCGTCATTATAGTAATGATAAAATTTATAAATGTGATATGCTAATTATCTAATTTATGATTTTTAAATTTTACATAAAACATATATATAATGTATAATTTATGATTTTTAAATTTTACATAAAACATATATATAATGTATAATGTATAAAATTTTATTTGCATTTGTGCATATACACATGATAGAATACTAGTTATTAGTATAAGATTAATTAGTAGCGGTCATTTGTTTTTATCATCTGACACTACTTTCGAGCCACTACTGTAAAAACTGCAGAACTGTTGCTTGTAATTTTTCTACAAATCTTTCTCCAGTTCAAAATTCTCCCCAACCTTTTTATATTCTTCAATTGGACAAGTACAAAATTGATAAGATGACAATAGAATTGCAAAAACGTCTTCAGATGAGTACAATTCCCATTTCAACTTCAGCAATACAAAAAAAAAAAAAAAAAAAAAAAAAAAAAAAAAAAAAAAAAAAAAAAAAAAAAACCTCACTTTCTAATACAATACAAAAGTCTACGGAAAATCTGGCATCGATGAAAATATCTTTGAAATCGACAATGATGGAATAGTTTAAGCTTCTTTCAGGAAAATATTCGATTCATTTGCAGCTAACGACATGTCAATCTTGTTCAACTTTAGACCTTCTCCTGCTACTCTTAGATTTCTTCTTCCTACTCGGACAATCGTCTCTAGATTCCTCTTTCCTTTTGGCAGGAATAGGATGAGCTTCAGCATCAGCTATGTCTACCATATTTGTAACTTGTGGAGTAGGGTCGGAAGCAACTGCCAGTCGGGAAAAAAAAATAATTAGCTACGAGAGCTAACTGCAAACTTCTTAGGATAACGAGATAAGATGATCTATAGTATCTTTGCATCAATTGCTTGCAATATGAAAGGGTTTGTATACCAACAGAGGAGCCGGAGCATATATATTGGCACACAAGATGCGAAAGAACTAGAATTCTGAAAAGAGTGAGTAACCTTTGTTATGGAAATATGAGTCGAAAACAATAGCAGAAAGATGTTGCTTCAAGAAAACCTGCATTAAATCAAAACACCAACATTAGTATGAAAAAGGTAGACGAAATAACCAACTCCAATTGAATCTGTTGTTAAAAATGCAGAACAGGATAAGAAATTCATCTTTCCCATTGTTTAGGAAGTTTCATAACCAACCACTTAAAATTTGTACCAGAACCTCTTGAATAATATTCAGGGTCTGTTATGGGGATATCATATATATGAATGAGCTTTCGCCACACATATGATCTGGACTAAAATTGCAATTCCATATCTGAGTTCAATTATCTAAAATAAATGCAAACAGTTCGGTTACACATACTGCTGACAGAAGTTGCCTCGACTCTATGTCCCAAATGCGCAAGTATCTATCGAGACCTGATACAAAATAAAAATTTAGGGGTTAGCAATTACAACAAATATGCACATCATTTAAGTAGTATCACACTTTGTTAACTAGATCAAATACCCAAAGAAACTCGGAAATAATTAAAGAAATATGGCATAAGGCTTTGAAAATAATAACAATGTCTAAAATAAAAGTTGACAAGTATATGAGGACTTATTTTATATGATGAATAGAACTTGAAAATTCCGCTATAATGATATAATTCAGATAAAAATAAATAAAAAATCTTTTGCTGGCCTGCACATTAAAACCCAGCAACAAAAAACATGCATCATGCATTATACACTCACCACATGAAGCAATCACAGGAAGTTCAGGATGCCTCACTATGGATCTTATACTTCCAGAACATTTTCCGATAAAGCATCCCAAAAGTTTCCCTACAATACATTAGCAGGATGTAGTCTAACTTTAATATCAGCGGAGTAACATTCATAGACAAGATAAGAGAGAGTGATTGATCTGATGCAATGTGAGAGGTATGGAAACATAACAGAAGACTTCTTTTTCTCATACTTGTATAATAACTCAAGTTAAGCTGTTATGGATCTAAGTGGTTTGTCCATCTGAAGCATATTTTTTTAAGGTGAAAGCCAAGCCGAGGAGATTGGCTCACGGCCTGGCATTAAGGCAAGAACTGTTGTCTTGTAAACATGTTGCGACAGTTAAAATAAATAACAAAATACATGTTTCAGTCGAAAGTGCAAAATTTTGGCATCCATAACCGCTGTCCTTCACAAATTTTGGCTGTTGAGCAGAAATTTGCCACACCATACCGCCAGTTGTGAATTTGATAATACTGCAGTACTCTAGGTATAAGACTAAAAGATAAGCAAGAAATACCTGTTCGTGTGTCAATAGAAGCAAGGTCACCTGAGCCATTTCCTACGTAAATTGTATGACCGTCAGTATCTTCAGAGACTGCCTTAATTGGGGTTTCTCTGAAATCAATTGACATCACGGGCCTTCTCTGAGCCGCAATATCATATAGACGAACCTACAATGATTCGTAAGGTTATTTCAGATTATCAATGAAAGGCGACTACCTTTCTCTAGCTGTATCATCCAACATTCAATGCACTAGACATGCAAATGGACTTTTATATTTTCATTAACTAATATATTTCCTTTAACAAGAAATCTTGCTAAAAAAATGCCAACTGATCTTCAGCTTCCTGGAGAAAGCTGGCGATATTACAAATTCTTCTTCAGTTCACAGCTGGACGAAAAAAGGAATTCTTCTAGCAAACATGAAAATCTGCCTGAGCAGTGTAGAATAACAAAACATTACACTAAGTCATAATGGAAAATTCCCATTAATATCTGGGAGAAAATTACCTGATGAGACTTTGTGCCAGCGACGAATTTGCGGTGATCATCTTTACACAAAAAGGTTGCAGATGTAAACCAAGATTGGGTGAATATTCCAAGACTGTCTTTTGGGGGCTGACAAGGATATTAAATTCAGTAAATCATTAGCTAAAGCAAGTAGTTGAAAAAAATTTTCTTTACACAAAAAGGTTGCAGATGTAAACCAAGATTGGGTGATTATTCCAAGACTGTCTTTTGGGGGCTGACAAGGATATTAAATTTAGTAAATCATTAGCTAAAGCAAGTAGTTGAAATTTTTTTTAGAGAGAGAGAGAGAGAGAGATAACTTACAGATTTTGCTGTCCAGATCTTAACACACTTTTGAAGATCCCATACATTAACTTCAACGCCCTTCCTGTGTTAAATCATATGTATCGTTTGACCATGGACAAAGTACTAGCAATTTTATTTTAAAGCTCTGACATAGCCAATACTCACCCTCCAAACAAAGCATAATTCTCTTTTCCATCCACTTTTGAACATAAAATATCACCAGATCCGCATACATTCCACACTGTTGGTGAGGAATCACGAACAAAATCTGCTACAGTTCTGCCAAACTCAAAAGATACCATACTGGCACGCCCTTTTGTCGTGCAGGTAAACAATGTACATGACCTATATCACAAGTTCAAGAAGTTAACAGTTTACTTATGCAGCTGTGCAGCATATCATGAAGCTATGATTCGACCTTACACAAGACAAAGTCCAAAGACAAGAAGCAGAAAGATTTTGTGGGAACTAGCTCGTATCAAGTGGAAGTGGAAGCATTAAATGCTAAACTGACAACGATTATAAACATAAGTCCTAATATAAAGGGAGACTACATATTTAAACTAGATATCCTGCTGATACATCTCCAGATATTCTGGTCTCATTACTATTTGACCACACAAAGACCTATATATTGAAAAGACTTCTGATTGCGCTTTATACATTAGTTGAACATCTTCTCCAACTTTACCAATCTAGCCCACATTAACTACTCATTGAAGTTATAACAAGTTACCCTTTCAGTAGGTTGTATTACACACTTACAATCATCAGATGCACAAATTATTTTTAGTTTCCAATCCTACCCCTACTTGTTTTTGCCAAGACCTATTAAACCTGGAGATTTCAAGCGCAAACACCTCTATCGCTCTAAACAAACTCAACATTGTACGAGCTTAAACAAGATAAAAGACAAGCTGAGTGCATATATTGTAAGAAATAAATAAATAATAATAGCAATATAGTGTAAAAATTGGTTTAGAGTGAAAAACAAACAACGGTTAACTTAGAACTTAATAGGAATATTATGCAAAATAAATGAAGGAAAAGAACTTATTTATCACCAAAATGATTGCGAAGATAATTCAATCTTCATTTATTCAGCAGGGACTAAGTTCCAAGTGTCTGCATTTCTGATTGGAGAGTATTCATAGTATGTGTCTGTTACTGATCTCAAATTTGAAGGCCAACCACAAACACATAGGCATTACACAGTTTACATGATTTGTAATTTTATTTTGAGTAGCTTCTTTCTTAGAGGATTAGTATTACAAAGTTCGATTACTACTACTAGGAAGTGCCAAATCTTTTTTGTCTGATTGATATCTGGAGGAGTCAATATAAACACATGAGATAAGTGAATATGATGAAAGAGCAATTGATTTAATATTAAATATTCTTTTTATAATAATATAAGTAATTTTTCCAATGTCAAGTGTAAAGAAATGTTTGTTCTGAGGACATGCTGCAGATATGAGTATGGTTCAAAGTGACAACTAATGAATCAAATGAAATTTCGTAATCCTAACTACAGACAGGAAAAAAAATAAAAAAAAATAAAAAAATAAAATAAAAAAATAAATATGGTTCAATAATATGTGCTTTGGTGGACAAGGAATTGTAATTCTGGAAACCGAGCTTATTTACTTCTCCTAACATCATAGTACCTAAAGATTATGTTGGTCCTCACAAAAGAAGATACAAGAAATTACTCGGCTACATAATATTACCATATTACTAGCATATACATATCACTGAGAAACAGATTTTTCAGACTAAGGTCAGCATAATCAGAGCACACACATATAAATGAAACTGGATACATTAACCCTCAGTAAATTGCTGTGATACCTTGACGATGACTCAGGCTGATGTTTTGAAAACAAATGCAAACCAACGATGGCATCTTCCTCGGGAGTTGCTGCAGATAGACGCAAGTTCGGTATTTGAGCCCTAAGATCCCCATTAATAGCACTAATCACCTCAACCTGAGGAAAGACTGAAATTTTAATACAAATTACGAAAGTGGTGCTCAGATATTTGGTTTTTAAAAGCAAAAGCAAGACTTACAGAACCACATTTCCTTGCAATACCGACCAGCTGCAACATACACATCCCAACCAACAACAAACAAGTTAAATTTGCAATATGAGAAACAATATTTTGGAGACATTGCTGAAACAACACTCAAGTCGCAGAAAACTGAATATGAATAACCCATAATAAAACCTCAAGTCAACCATCTCATCGACCTCAATGACATCATTGTTCTGTTTATATTCTCGATTCAATCAGATATAAAACCAATTAAATCTAATGTTCACAGAAATAAGCAGCATGTACACACACAAATCAGTACATTAGATACAAGTACATAAATATGATAGCAAAAATGACATAAGACAAACATAAAATAGCTCACTTACTGGGTCGGACTCTCGGTCGACCATGGAAACTGCAAGCACGCATTTAGATGCATCCGGTTCGCCCCACCTCTCCACCATCTTAGCAGCACCTCCGCTCTCTCCATCATGTGCCTCAATAACTGTCAATGGGAAATTACCAATCAAAAACGGCAAGGCGAAAAAGGAAACAGACATTGAAATAAAATTCGCATCTCCAGCATGATTCTGCTAAAAAGGTACTAGCAACAATTGGATCCCCTCCTATGTACCTTTGACAAGGCCGAGGGCATCGAAGGTTAAGGCTCGGAGAGAAGGGCAGCCAGGGCTATCCACCGTCGTTGTCCGTGGCATAATTTCGTTTAGTTCTGAACTGTGTATGAATATTTTCGCCGGGATTCAGCCCGAGAGAGCGAAGGAGGCGGCAGACGATATATATAAACCACCCAACTGTGGTTTTGGGTTTTCTCGAGGGCAAAATTATGGGGTAGTTGTATTACACCAATTCCGAACTCCAACTTATAAATTCATACTAGTTACTCATGCCTATGTGCATATGTTACAGTATCATGCTTTGTACAGGCGAGCAAAATCGAGCCGAAATGGAGAAACCAATCCGAATCAATATATTCGGTGCGGTTCGGTTCGATTTTCCAAAGGTTCGATTTTCTGTGCGGTTAAAACTTTGAAAAACCCCACAAATTTTGGTGCGGTTCGGTTATTTGTCTGAAGGGTGCAGTTTAACCGCACCGAATATGTATTTTTTTTTTAACAAATATGTTAACATGTTTGTATTGTACGCATACATGTTCATTTTGGGCCTATGATTTTTGATGACTACATTAACAATAAATAAGTAAAATAATAAATAATAATAATAACAATTAAAAATTAAAAATATTACATTGGAATCTAATTTGTTGTCCTAGTTTTTCACTTTGAGTCAAATTTTGGGTCTTTGGTTCATTAATGATGACGAGGATGTAGCTTCATTTTATTTTGGATGCTTTTTTTTTTTTTTAAACTTGCGGTTAACCGAAACCGCACCAAACCGAACCAAAAATTTTGGTGCAGTTTCGGTTCGATTTTTTTTACCAATTTTGGTGTCGTTGGGTTTGGATAATAAATAGCAGTTCGGTGCAGTTTTGCATCGAACCGTGCCATTCTCACCCCTAATGCTTTGTTGTCAGATTCGGATAAAATATTTAAAAACAAAATTGGCTTAAAAAGTGCCATAAATAGTTTTTTCACCATACACGGTTGTCTCCCATCAATCTCTATTTCGTTACATATTTGTCTTGAATTTAAAGATCACACAAATCTTTCTTTCTTTATTTCATTTTACTAAGGATTTATCTCATGAGATCGTCTAGGGTAAGGTACCCAAGCGTACCTACCTAACATCAGGTGCCATGTTATATCACTATTGGATTGACTTAAAAATCAATATCAACCATTAGATCGAAGGTACGAGGTTGGTACGAGGCAGCCGAAAATATTTTTGCTTCGTACCAACCTCGTACTCCCATCTACTTGCAAAAAACCTATAATACCCTTATGTCATAAAAAAAGAAAATAAATTAAAAAATTTTAACTGTATTTATTTTGAAGACCTTACATCTATATTATTTGTATAACAATCCTTCATAAACAAAAATATAGGATCAAAACCTTAACATTTATTAAAAGAAATTCCAACGACTTTGTTCTTCAACATTTGTTTTTCTCGTCTCCGCGTTCATCGTTGAATCGAAGAACATTACCAATATACATATATATTTGTTCAAACTATCTAAGAATACCGATATATGATGGCGAATCCGAGAATACCGATTCATTTATTTGCAGAGATATTTCGAATCCAGGTATATTTCGAATACAGGTTTATTTCGTATTCCGGGTGTGCACAGATATCAAAAATTCAATTAATGTATATGAAATGTATTGTGTGATTTTGTTGTTCAATTCCAAATTGTTGACATTTAACTCGCTTTTTGATTATAAAAGTAGGCTAAATGGTTTAGGGTTCACATCCTTGTATTCGTGTAATCGATTCTTTTGAATAATGAACTGATGTGATGAGGTGAATTTGTTAGATGATGATACATCCTTAATAACAACATTACATGTTTGTTCAAATGCCTCAATAATGTTGTTGAATGTGATATTTAGATGTTAATGACCAGTAACATGTATATGTAATTTATACATTTTGTTATATAAAACTTGTGTACTATCACTTTAATGAGGCAATGCTGGTGAAGCAACTCTGGAGACCACTCACTCAACCCCACCTCCTTATGGGCTGCAGATTGTTATTAGAAATGATGAAACGGTTAGACTCCAAGACTTCAACTGGGTCCCATGTATTAGAAAAAGGGTACCCAAACTCAAGGACGTCACTAGTAGTTGAAAGCTCTGGGTAAAAGGCCTCATTGATAAGGACAATGGACAGGCCAGTGTAAAGTGGGGAAGAAGGAAAAATTGTCAGTAGCCTCCTCATACAAAGAAAGCTCCTCTCCTTAAACCTTCGAGAGGGCAACAACCCCTCCAAGAGGTACCAAGGGGTTAGACAAAGAACCTGGAATCTTAACATAAAAGGAAAGCTAAAGCATTTCATATGGAAGTGTATCACAGGTATTTTGCCAGTTTGTGCATGTCATTTGATGTTGATGTGGTGAGGCAGAAGAAACTGCAGAACATGCTTTGCTGGAATGTATGAGAGCAAAAAATGTTTGGAAGCAGGCACATGTTACATGGTATGACATTAATATGGATGGCTGCAGATTTGAAGATTGGTGGGGCTGGGCATCAAAGGAGCAAGTAGCAACTCTGATATCAGGAAGCTTAGCTAGGTGTGGTTAGACATATAAGTGGACATGTTTTTATTCTCTGTTATTTTTATTGTCTTATTGATCAATGGAGGGCTCAGTTCACTGCCATTGGTGTTTGTTAGCTTCTTGCTGTATTTAGCCTACTATTACTAGTAGTTATCTCAGGCTTACTGTTTGTACTTGAACATCTTATTTGGTTATATTCGTGTTTCCTATCGTTTTGAGACCAAAAAAAANAAAAAAAAAAAAAAAAAAAAATGTGTACTATCATCGATTATTGGTTTTTTACTAGGGTTATGCTACATTGCCCACATCCATTACAACTTAGTTTTTTTTTATTGTTAAATAAATTTGTATTGATCAAAACTGGAAGTCATACAACCGAGACGGATTTCAAGTCGAAGCGGGTAGCCACATGTCGGCTCCTCACTCGAAAATATCAAAACCGAGGGCTAACCCACAAACTGGGAGCTCACTCGAAGTAGAAAACCCACTAGAAACCAACAAAAATGGCAGCAGCGACGCGCGCGTGGAACTTCCAAGGTAGCGCCGCTAGGCAATGGTAGCGGCGCTAATAGCTACGTGGCGTGATGTGGAGTGGCAGGCCCTAGCGGCGCTAGCTTGCAGGTAGCAGCGCTAGTTCGATGGAAGCGCCGCTAGCAAGGTAGCGTTGGAGGGCATCTTTCCTCTGTTGGGTCCAGAAGCGGCGCTAATAGCATGGTAGCGGCGCTAGTGTCACCTTAGCGGCGCTAGGCCTCCTTAGCGCCGCTAAGCCTCAGCCAGCAGAAAAATTTTGCAGCAGTCCATTGTTTTTGCTCTACCAAGTGCTTAAGCACTTATCCTCAATCAATCCAAGCATGTCACATTTTACACATCAAGACCAAGGCATTGACTTTCAGATTCGGCAAGCACTCTCGGGTAGGTGGCAAATATAGTATGATAAACATGAGTTTTTACCTTACAAATCACGAGGCTTGGAGGTTGGTTATCACCTTCAAAGATTAAGTGATTTCGGACGTTCCATATGAAGTATATGGTAGCCGCTAGCGCCGCTTTTTTCAATTTGGCTCTCCAAGTTGTACCTTTCCCCTCTTTTTTGGTCCACTTTAGGGCTCCTTTGAGTGTTGTTGGCGTGTGACGTAGGCTAACCCATACACGAATGGCACCCCAAATCTCCGAGCTAACCAAGCACTCGAAGAAAAGATGACTCGAGGTTTCGTTGGCGGTACCGCAAAGGGGGCACATCGGATCTTCATTAAGGAATTCAAGTTGATCCTTAGTTTGGAGCCTATTCATCACTCCGAGCCATAAGATAAATGAGTGCTTGGGGGTATTGCACCTCCCCCAAACAATCCCGGTCCATGGCTTGACGCATCCCTTAGGTCGGAGGAAGTCATAGCATTTTCTCGTGCCATCTTGTTTATCTTGTAGACTCCACAATCGGAGAAGGCCTTCCGTACCTCTCGCACTACCCGCTTTTTCGATCAAGTTAAGCCGGATGTCAAAGAGGGATTTGAAGAGAGGAGAGTCATTTTTGGAAATTTGTCACTCCCAAATCGATTTCTCCTTTAAGTAGACATTGTTTATCCATTTGTACCAAAGAAAGTCCTTCTTCAATTGGAATTCCAAAGGGTCCTCATGAGAAGGGCCCGGTTCCACGCTTTCAAGTTACGGGGCCCTAATCCTCCCTCCGCCCGAGGTAAGCATAGAGTATCCCAAGCAACGGGAGACTTTTTGGAGCCCCATAAGTATCTTCTACAAAGTTGCATGATCTTAGTTCGAACTATGCCCGGCAAATGGAAAATGCCATCCAAAACAAGCAATGCCTTGAATGACCGATCGGATGAGTTCCAACCAAGCGTAATGGAGGTGGGCAATGTAGCATAATTCTTTTTACTATGGCTACATTTTGTCATCTCTAAATTAACGAAGTTGAGGTAGTAGTGTTTTTGCAGCAGACTAGTGCAATATAGCATAATTTTACAACAATTGGTAAACAACTGCAAAATTACTGACATTAAGAATCGTATATTGGCAATACTAGATGAATTAATGCAGATGACCAACCAACGGGCTGAAATTTGAACAAAAACAAGAACTCACGTACACTACAACAAAGGCCAACGACATGTAAACCAAACATAAACAAAAAACAAAAGAGAAACCAAAAAGCAACAAAACACCAGCAAACATAATCCATGTCATTAAACAAACAAAACACATGTTCAGCAATAACAGCATGATGTACTTTCATACTTAAATTGTTCAACCATCTGACCATCTTCAACAAAACAAAAAAAGAAATGTATGTTCATCCATCCACACTATCCTAAAATAAATTAAATAGCTAAAAAATCTACGTCAAACACCTAATCATCGCGCTCAACTTGTACTTTCCTAAAAATTATATTTCTTCCTTGAACTATCTGACAATATTGGATGAAAGACTTCAGCTCTGTGAAGATGTGTTTGTTCCCTTCTTTCTTCATATGGACGATCCACTGGTTGCCCCCATGACGA